TGTTACAAGATCTGTGTACATAAGATATAAATAAATTATCTTGCGATTATACTTCTAGGCAAGAAGTTCAGAAGGCATAAGCATTGGCTGAAAGTGACATTCTCTTCTCTAAATCGTGATATTTTCGAGTGATGTCCTATTTTGGCTTATACAGACAGTCTTTAGGATCTGGTTAGTTTACTTACCACCTTCTCCCGACTCCTGAGTACTCCCAGTTTACCGAAACGGACGTGGAAGGGCGAGCAATGGAACTCGCCATCGCGCTGCTCCACCACGATCACATCGATGGCTCCCGTGAGGGTGGCGGCATTGATGTCGTTATAGAAGTCGCGGAAGTTGCTGAAGACCCTCGCCAGGCTGTTCATCTTTGGTATGCTCCGGTTGGTCTCCCTTCAAAATGGATTTCCTTGCTGGTGGCGTTCTCTCCTTGAACTCCGCGCTATCTGCTTATCTAATCGCAAAGCTCCGACTTTGTGTGTTTGCGTCCGCCGTATGCGCTTATATGGCGACCATGTTTATGGGCAGGCGGTCAAATGCGCCGCTTATTGGCGAAGGAATCGGCTCTGCGGCGTACTCGGCAATACTTTGGACCCGCCTCTGAGATACGGCAACTGTAAAGGGCAAGCGGAAACGGTCATGAGTAATTTGTATAGGCCATAAACCATTTTTCGCCACTCTTTTTCGCCACTTGGCTTGGCAACGGCCCCGTCGCGGAGGAAATAGACGCATTGCATCAGCAGCCATCCTGTGCTCGGAAGCCCCGCCAATGCACCTGCCTGGTATTTTTAACCTATCCTCTCCCTGGCGGTGCTCAAAGTCAAGGTGATTGCCTACAGCACAGAACAGAGACAAAGCCGCGCAGCAAAGTGTTGCTGACCGCCGGCAACATCCCCTCCCCTTCCCCCAGCAACTCGGATGGCACCGCGGCAACACGGCGTACTCACGCTGAAATGTTGCCAAACGGCGGACGTGACGTCGAAAATACAACCGCAATATGAAAATTATAAACAAATAAATAAATATATGTGCATATGTATAATATATTCTACACCCTTGGCCACAGCCATAGCAACCGTAGCGAAATACTTATGAATTTGTTTGACAATTTTTAACAAGGACTGAATTGATGAGAATAATCCCAAGTTTGTACTCAAATTCTAAATATCTACAAAATCATAGCTATTATTTGTGTGATAATTCGTTTTGAAATGTATTCATTTGGGAATAATAAAATGAAAAATCAATCTTGTATTGTGCGAAGGCATTTTAATTTCCCTGCATGCGGTTACGTTTTATTACAAGTTCAAGGCGATAATAAACCATTCAAGCTGAGTAAATAAAATTATACTATTATAAGTCCGCTGCGGGCTGTGCTGAAGGCACTTTCGAGCACTTATCTGGGATAAAAACTATTTACGAGTGTCATCGATGAATTGGCGCGATAAACCAGTCGAACGCCGCTTATCAACGCGGGTTGCATGGGTGGGTAACCAGTGGCGTGTTCTACTGTTCGCGAATGATAAAACTCAGAACAACTAACGCCCGGACTACAAACACATTCGCGCACTATATGAGTTGAATTAATCGCGGGCTCCGAAGACATCACGCGATATCGAGTGGAGGGCGTGCTTTAAAACTCGAATCACAATACAACCGAGCGCGTTCGTAATAACTAGCCATGGAGTTCAACGTCCAACATTGTACTGTAATTAAGCGAATTCGAGAAACAATAATTGCTAGATTTTTGGCGTTCGGCAGCCGTGCCAACGGTCACAGGTATCGGCAATTCACATTCGACAATCTGGTGATTATCGCAGTTGCCATAACTGGGAATTCGGAGGAATTTGCTTGATAAGATTATATTGATCTGAATACGCAAAAAGTCGGTTGTATGGTGTCATAACTTTCGATTGTTATCAACTCGTACTACCAAATAACTACTAGTTTATTCGTTATTAATTTGTTTGCTTTAAATTTGAATTTGATCCTTTCTTTTTTCGGTGGTTTTGATCTATGAGCAAGATAGAACAATATAGTCGATATTTTTGGCACATCGTTCATAACTTACAAGCAAAATATTAAAAATTAAAAAAAAAATCAAAAAAAAATGTTAAAGTGAAAAAAAGAATTGAAACATTATGCATGACATTTTTTTGACGGTTTGTAGGCGTGGATGGTCGTGGAAAAAATGTTGGCAAGCCGATAAATCTGGAATCAGCATACTTAATGTTAACTTTATAGCTTTCATAGTTCCTAAGATCTCGACATTCATACGGACGGACAAATCCAGATTGAGAATATACAATATACATACATATGTATGTATAAATACCCATACCGTTTGTGTCTCTTATCACTCAGATTATACGTGAATTTGTTTCCTAAACATCTGATTCGTCGCGACATTTTGTATAGAATATATATTTGTTTTTATTTATTTACAAAGTCTTACATAACTATACGTTTAATAAATATTTTACGAACAAAGTATGCTTTTAATCAAAGATAGGTGGACATCGGAAGTTCACAACACGACATCTTCTTACTTTTTTAAGTCAGAATATATGTACTATTATAAGTTTGAACTGATAGCCCGAGCAACAAATAATTCACACCTACTAAATAGCTATTTGTTTATAAACAGTCGCCATGTATTATTTACTTTAAACCCAAGCTTGTGAATCTTTTCTGATAACTGTGTCATGTTGTTTTCTGTTCCATGCAGACCAGCTCTTTTGACAGACATTAGGGCACATTATTCGGTCATTTTACTGAAACCTTTTCTCCCAGTGTATGATAGGAGGGGACTTAATCAAGGGTCCTTCAATTGCACGCAGTACTCGCACTCGAAAGGCAGAAATCACGCCATCTGTCACGCGTTGCCGCCCGCTTCACTTTCACCTGCGAAGCTGGGGAGGCAAGTAGGCCGAGAAAGGTGGAGCAAAACAACATTCGATGAAACACATGGAAACCAGCCGATGGTAACAAGCGTACCTACAGAAGGCAACAAAGAAACCTCAGAATGGGGCCAACTTCGGGAGAACCTAAGAAAGCACTTATACTCGCATACGTATATATACATATATCCAACAAAGACACAAAGGAGAACTCGGACTTCCACACAAACAAAACTCAGGGGCTCCAAAGATAAGGATGTAGAACAACATTTGTATTTCCCAAGATTTGTTCAAACAGAACAATTTTTTAGTTGATACAATATCGTAGATCTGCAAACAACACATAAGAAGTAGGCCTTGGTTTTTGACTGTGCACAAAATATCACGCAACTTTGTTTAAGTCCCAGCAGATTGCTTTCATTTCGCGACGAGTTTAGCTATAATATGCACTTTTTAATGGGTCTGGGCTGCGGCTGTTTTCTGATTTGTGTTGAGTCACGATCAAAGTCCAGGGATTTTTGGATCGGGGAACGCGAGCGAAGAAAAGGGGCGAGCAAACAAACAAACACGCGACCAAAGTCTAACCGAAATTCTTGCCAAGAATACGTATGCAGGCGAACGATCTCGACGGATCTCTAGTATAATGGAAATTTTCAATATAATTCGTGGGTTTTCGGCCTTTCATTTAAATTCACTACCTGGCACAAAATTTGCAGCACAGCTGTATGATAGGTGCCCTTGAAAACACTAGCGAAACTGTTGCGAATCACTCTGCTTTCCGTGTGTTTTCAGTGGCTGTTTCTGGTTTGCGGTTCACAATGTTATTAAAGAGTTCTCGAGTGTTTCCTCGGCCTCTTTGATTCTGACTCTTCACTTCTCGGATTCTTCCGTTCTTCCGTTCACTTGTTGCTCGGTCGAGATCACTTCGAAGACTGAGCGTTCGAGCGTTGCGGCTAATCGAATTAGGCAGGTGCCAGAGTGTGAGTGAATGAGAGAGCGAAAGCTCCGCAGCAAACCTGAACCTGTAAAACCGGAAAGTCATGTAACTCTTGTTGCCATGTTGCTATCTACATTTGTATGCATGCACGAACAGCCGTGGTCGTAATAATAGCGCAAATGTACAAACTTCTTTCAGTTCCTTAAATATAACAATTCGTGGAACATTTCTTAATCATTTCTTATCGATTTTTAGTGTGAAAAGACCAAAGTTTAAATAAACAAAAATGTTCAATTTGATCAATAGTCACTGTACAATTGACCCCCGCTGTACATAGGCATTTTTGTCAGTGTTGGTGTGCAAAATCCAATCTCTCTCTCGCGCGCTTATCAGCTGTTCGCACGCTGAACAGCAGCTGTTTATGCGCAATCGAAAGCTTTGCACCAGTAATAAATAAAGTAATAGTATACATGTATGTATGGGCTGATCCGATCTGGGACTCGAAAGGAGCGTCACTGTGGGATGGTCTAGACTAGATTGTTCTTTTGTACAGGAAGTCTGCCTAAGAATATACTAATGGGCTTTCAAATGATCCATGGTCCAAATATGTGTACTAGGACCGTCGCTATGTATATAAGCAAATTGTAGAAAAACAAAAAGCCGCCAAGAGAAAAGCAGGCAAACAATTCGTCACAGTTGGGGACTGTGGAATATTTTCCGAATGCCATGCGATCGGTGCCAACAAAAGATAACAACGCCTACGACAAACTAATAGTTCTTATTTATGAATCAAATTATACCTTAAGTCCCGAGCAAATAAACAAACTTACCAAAACAGAAAGCAATAACATTCGAAATAAAAAACAACTGAGCATGATCACATACGATTTAAATAATTTAAATATATTTGTATTGTTTTAAGAATAAAACTAAAGAAGTATAGTTATACGTATGTATGTACATCGAACAAATTGTACCAAAAATATATGTAGGGAAGGCTCGACACATCCCCCCGTTCATCTGAACGCAAAAATATATATAATAAATAGGTTACCATGAAGAATACAAATAACTAAACAATTGGCAAAGGCAGACGACATATGTTTGTATATGGGATTGTAGCATGATATGTGGTAAATAAAACTAGGCTCTAAAACAAAACGTTCTCAGATAGTAGATAATAGCGGTTACTAAGAACGACTCCTCTTTTATTGGACCCAGTAAGCGGGCAAAGTGAAATGCGTCTGGTATGGTTACCCAATTACTTGGGACTGGTCGTGGACTTGCGCCGGGCATCCGTTATGGCACCCCACAGCTCGATGATGAAGTCATCCGTGAAACCGAACGACTCTAGGTCCGAATTGTCGATGGCCTCGGCGAAGTCCATCGAGTTGGACTTTTGGTCGCCCAAATCCCAGATCTGGGACGCCAGCTCCGTGTCGTTGATGCCCATGAAGGACTCCAGCAGGTTATTAATGGCCTCGATGCCAGCCACAGTCGCCTCATCGAACTGCGGCTCGATCTGAGCATTCCCATTGGCCTTGAACCGCAGCGTCTCCTTGCCGCTGCCGTAGTTCTTTCCTCCAGCTGAACCCGACGCCCTTGACTGGCTGCGCGGTCCGATGCCCTGGAATCCGCTCCGCACTGGCTCTACCAGGCGCAGGGTGAAGGTCTCCCCGGTGGCTATGTCCTTCAGCATGCGTGCCACCTCGTAGTGCCGCTTGCCCACCATATTCTGGCCGTTGAGCTTCTCGATGTGATCGCCCACGCAGATGTGCTCGATGCGGTCGATGATCGAGTCCTCCTTGATGCGCTTTATGAAGGCGTAGCCGGCTCCGTTGTCGGTGATCGTGAGCCCGAGGGCATCCTGCGACTTCACAATCTCGATCTCCTTGGGTCGACCCTTGCGATGGGCGAAGATGAAGTCGTCCAGCCCGATCTGCCCGCCCAGCAGACGCGTCATGTCCACCTTGTGCGAGTTGAGGGTGCAGAAGAGAATGTCCTTCTCGGAGATGTCGAAGCACTCGGCAATCTTCTGGTACAGCTCTCGAACGCTGGAGAAGTCGTGGATTAGGCCGGTGGGACTGCCGTGGGCCAGTTGGCAGTGGAAGACCAGCGGGGGCTTTGTTTTCTCCGGAATGCTGTTGTTGTTGTTATTATTATTATTATTGCTAATGTGGCTACCCTGGGAGGATCCCGAGTTCATGGAGGAGCGACTGCCGAACTGGGAGCCCCCATCGGCGGTGGGTCCTTGCTTGGGTGATTTTCTCGTGAAGAGCGGCATGATTGAATGGGATTGGATAGTGTCCTTAATTAGTCCTTGGGCTGGAGAACCGTCTCTATTTTTAGGACATGAAGTGCTCGAAGGTTACCTTGCTCTTGATCCTGATACTGATCTGTGTGCGTAGAAGAAATGAGGATGCTCTTGCGATTAGGCGATTACACTCGGTGTTAGGCGTTGCGTTTAGTAGTTTATGAGGCTGTTGCTTGGACATAGACTTAGACATGGGTGGGTGAGTTAGTGGCGATTAATTGGGGGATGTGTGTGCGTGTGTACATATGTCAGCACAGAGTTAAGACTGTAAAGTACAACCCACAACCAAGGTACGGGTTTATCTAATCGGTTTGCCGGTCGTCGGTTCAAATCGGTTGTAAATTGCAAACGGGAAGTGGAAATACCAAGGCCACTTGTGAGAAACGATGAATCAGAAATCGAATTGGTCAGATTGGTGTTAGGCCCAGTACGATCTCGTACTCTTTGATCACTCCTTATCACCGGTCTTTGTTGAAAGTTTAGGCCAGAAGCACTTATTGAATTCTTTCGCTATTTGAGGTTAGACACGTGTCAAAAGGCTCTATTCTACGAATATTTTTAAATAGGGGTCTAACATAACAACACTAACATAAACACTCTCACTTATAATCATTTTGTCAACTTGGTAATCAATCGATTAATTATTACCCTACTGAGGCAGCATAACAGCGAAGAGCTGCGGAAAAACACATTGAATTCCGACCAATTTTAGTCACACTGAGCTGGCTGCTTTTCACCACTTTTTTCCCGACTTTCTGGCCCTGGCGATAAGATTCCCCAATGCCCGATAAGACAACTTGGCACGATAAGGGCCTCGGCAAAAGATACGGGTGGGACCGAAGTCTTATCGCTCCACGTCTGTCCCGAGCAGTCCGTCAATGTGAACTGAACCGCCAGCGGCCAAAGGTGGCCACTTGATGGCAGCCACTGCCCAGCAGATGCATGTGTAAGCACTTCCGCCGGAGAAATGCCGCAGTTCATGAACCTCTGAATCTCCGCTAATTGTACGTACATGGGGGAATGGCGCTGGCACAGTGCTCAGATCGTACTGGCGTTAGATCCGATGGCTTGCATTTACACACTAAAATTTTGATCGATGTAGAGAAGTCTTTTAAATAAAAAGGCCCAGAGAAATTTAAGCCACAGGCTTCCTTTGATTTGTTTACCGGCATTAAGTACTTGTTTCCAAACCAAAGTAAACAGTGTGGGTAGCGCCCTGGAGAAACTTTGAAATTAAATGGCTCAAGCTTGCCAACTTGATGAATATGAACTTGAGACCTTCAAGTGAATTCTCTGTTTATGTTCTATTTACACCATCCTCGAATTATGCTTAAGGCAGATCTGGAAAAGTCTTTCGAATTCAAAGCTCCACCAATAACTGGTTTTCCTCTCAGCACGTTACACACATCCCAATCGAGCAGTCAGATTGAGACGAGCCCCTTCATTCACATGTATCTGCGCCATTCCAATATACATGTGTGAGTATACATACATACATGTAATCGGATTCTACACTGTAACATATTCACGGTGCCATAACAAGCAAAACAAAAGCCAGTGGATGATAATGCCGCTAGTCCCATCAAGGTCGAAATAGTTGAGAGCGCGTGCGGCTTACGCGCGCCTCACCAGACCAAGAATCTGCGAAAATACATATGTACATCAGCGAACATATAGCCTGACATACTCGTACATCGGCAGATACTATATGTCACTATATGGCAACTGCGCAGTTGAGGTGGAGCATAGGCTTGTGTGCGCCTCAAAGGCGGAAGCCGGCTGAGAGGGCAGGCCCCCTTCGACGAAATCGAAGACCACCAACCAACCGGTGCGAGCAATAACCTCGCCATCCGAAAAAGCAGCTTCGGCTTTAAGTTTCTGGCAGAAAGAGATTCATATGAATAAACACGCCCGAGAGTTATCGTAAATTATAGCGCCCAGGGTCATTTGCTGGGGGGCAGTGGTGACACTTCAGCTATTTCTGCGTTCAATCAACTCGTTTTTGTTCATAACGTTTTGTTCAGACTTTTTTGCTAGCCTTATGGACTTGATTTATTACATGTACCACACAAGATTATGTTGCTTTCACGAGTAGTACAGCACATGGTAGCGAAATTGATATTGTATCTAGTGGAAGTTATCGGTATAAACGCTAAAAACCAGCAGTTTTTTCCTTCTTTTTTTTCCCTTTGGGAAAATTCTGAAGGCTAAGCCGTTCTGGCTGCGTAGGCCTGCGTAGTTGAGCGCTTTCCCGATAAAACCAGTAACTAGGGAGAGGGTAGCCATAGATCCAGAGCTAGTGCCACTGCGATCTATGGCCGATATCTAATTGAGACTCGGATAAGACGTAAACAAATTCGCTTCCGCGTTGCCGGCTGCTGGTGTGTTTTGTTTTGCCCGCAGCTTGTTTACTTGGCTGCCATTGGTCGCAGTCGGAGGGCTCGACGCTAAGAATGTGGAGAATGGGGGGTTGGATATGTAAAGAAGCTTTAATTTGCTGTAAACAACAACAGGCCGCGGCAGCAAGTGCAACTAGTGCCTCTGGTCGAAATGCAGAAAAGCACACTTAAAAATAACAAAAGTGTAAACAACCCTATGTGAGTTTGTTTGCCCCCACGGATCTGGTGTGGATATACAGACGTGTGGGGTGCAATACGGATTGCAGGAGTATCCAAATCTGTGAGGGAGTGTGGGCTTAAACAGTGGAACTGAGTTTCTAATCGCTGCTTTATTGACTTGTTTTTGTTACAGCAAAGTAAGGCCACATATACGTGACCGAATATATCGCACACCATTGCACGATCGACACGCGCGTGGGGAATCGGATAGCCACTCTATTTCGGGTCGCCAAGTTTATTATACCCCACTATATACTCACTATAGTGCAGACAATCAGCCTCAATTCGATTTCAAAAATACCTGATCATCCTTTTATAAGCTGTGTGTTGAAACAACTGTTTTGAATTAGAGTATTAGTAATGAAGTTCGTTAGGGCATTACCGTTGAAATATTGCCGAACAACTTAATTCTAAATCATCCGTATATCTACCATATCTACCACATTTTACTACCTAAACTACAAGTTTTCTGCATTGTTTGCATTTTTTTAGGGGTTTAACAAAAATGGCAAAGAAATTATATAGAATATATACCAGAGAAGGGTATTTGATGTTCAATTTGCGTAATGAACGATTAAGCTCTTATTATCAATCGAGCTGTGTGCTGCACCTGTTTTTATTCATTAGAGCACTGCCAAACACCCGCGTTGTTTTTTTGTTTTCGTAGGTTTGTAAACAACGTTAATATTATTCGTAATTAAAGGGGCAAAAGTGGGGAAAGGTGAGCTCTCAACTTAAGGTGAACCTTGATTTAAATACCCTTATTCGTTGCAGATGAACTTCGCCCATAGCCTGTGCTCAACATTCATCACCAAAGTATAAGTATTGATTGTTTATAAACCTTGGGAACCCAACGGTTGGTTATAGTTGTTTCCAATGTTTGTAGTACCCACAATAACACATGTAGTGTATTCGAATGCCAAAACAAGAGTCACGAAGAGAGCGCAAGAGAAATAGTTTTGCCTTTCAAGAGCGTTTTCTCTTCCGAAAGTAAGTTCAAAAGCTATAACAAAGCTTGCCAAAAGCTCACATAACTAGTTCCCAGTTGGGGAAAAGCTATCGCGAATCTTGACTAGGTCAATTTTTTCGACAGAATGCGAAAATCGCCGGCAGCGCTGCCGAGAGGCGAGAATCCAGCGAAAGACCGCCTGATCTTGGCTAACGGTGAAACTTAATTCGAAAAGTCAACATTTTGTGGGCAAAGGCACGAAACAAGCAGTAAATTGAGCTGCCATATCTAATGAAACCGAAGTAAACGCTGCACTGGAAGAACTCATGTATCGGTTTACCATATTCAAATTGAAATTTCAGTTTAAAGACGTTCATATTATAAATCCAGTTGTTCCTTTATTGTTGATCATGTGCTAAAGAAACATGTGAAATTGATAATATAATTACACAGTAAATAAGCATTTGGCGTATTCGCACAAAGATGTGCTTCCCCATTTCTAGTGGAAGATCCTCCAGTTCTTATAAATTGAAGAATACTAATGTGAATCATTTTACTTTTTCTTTTGATAATATGTACATACATACAAAGGTAATAATCGATTCTTGGAGCCTGAAATCTTCGAGAGACTTTCAGCACGTATATTCAAATTTAATTACCGAAACACAATAATATTTCCCTGTGTAGAGATGCTAATGCATAAATAAACAGTGACATCGAGCGGTTAGTTTAGGTTACAAACAAACAGAAGTATCAGTTGGCGAACGAAGACCCACTGCTAATACAAACAAGTATCCAATTTTCTGCGCCGGGTGCGATTTCCACAGATGATTCAGATGGACTGTGGGCGAAGCGAAAGCTTAAATGTCGCCCTGCCCGATGGTAGGTATTATTTATGCACTGTTTCTGTGGCATTTTCCGATCACGTTTTCTGCGGTTCCTGTGTTTTTCACTACATTATTCATAAATTGCTGACATTTTCCATTTGGCATGGTCCGACCCAAAGTCGTTGATCTACGATTCGATGATCCAGTGCAATGAACTCGGAGCCTTGGCTGAAACGTATCGAATGGCCCTTTATGGGGCATATTCCACAAAAACTACTAATGTGGAGCACTAAAAACACCCGGGCACCGACATTAGGGTCTAGTTAGCATAATGCACACACACGGGAGGGGCGGCACAGCAAAACAACAATGAGCACCACACGCAAAGTCAAGTATGTATCTACATTTATGTATGTATGTATGGAGAAAGAAAAACATTGGGGCAGTTTTGAAAACATTTAACCGTTTCACCTCGCTGAACTGCGAGCTCGAAAAAGCAAATTAAGCAAACGAATTATAGCCGAAAACCCGTAGCACGGTTTGTTTTGGGCCAAGTTTAAGCCGCCCGACAAACTAAACCCACATATGAATTTTATCTCTTTGTAACGTTTCTCTAAAATATGGTAATCCAAAGGCTATATTGTTTTGTAGTGCCTTGTTCACCAGTTCACAAATTGGGGTGATGAAATCCAAGCGGAAATTCGGGAAAATAAAAACTGGAAGTGGCCAAAAATTGCAATTATATAAAAAAGTGCCAGTTATCGTACCAGGTACCGCTTTTAAGAAATAAAAATTAAAATAATACCTCATTTTTGTTTCTATTACTTCTGATTGCAGTACTAAGCCAAGCATTTAGATGCAAATCTTTCAAAGATCCCCCATTATATGTAAAAAGATAGATCGTTGTGCCCGATCATGTATTAATGACATGAGACGACAGAGGAACTGTGGATAATTAATGCGGAGTAAGAACATCACGTGGATGGGAAACATGCAGATTCATTCGCACCAGTTCCGAGTACATCTAACACTGATTGGAAAAACGTTAGTGCAGTGATATTGCACATGTGCGGCAATGAGTGCGCATAAAAAGCGCAAAGTATGGCCATAAAAAGCACAGTTAAACTGATTGGCAACTGTTGGCATGACGGTGCAGCCCGTGGCAGCCCTAGCTGCCAGACCCATGGTTCCAACAATCGAGCTGATTCTTCAACGCTCCCCAGCCACCGCTCATCCCGCTCGACCCATTCCGCTCCAGCTTTTCATAAAGCGCCCCGTCGCATTGAAATGTCACGCAAGCAATTTACATAAATGGAGTTGCTTCCGCTTGAAGAGCTGGAGAACGGAGAGCGCGGCGCGGAGCGGAGCGGACACAGTGCATCGCATCCAGGCAGAAGAGGAAGCTATCTGAGTATCTGACGGGGAGTATCGAGTATCTGTGTATCCGAGCGCTGCTCACGTACGAAAACAACTGTTAGCAAGTGGCGAATGGGCGGGCATAGGCAACAGCCGATAGCGGCGGAGCGGAAGCGGGCGAAGGAATCGAATCGATCAAACAATTTCCGAGCTGCTCGTCTGCCGAAACTACACAGCGATAAATATTTTCTAGTGCCAGATATCAAAACGCGTTAAACTCAGATACTTATGTACATATGTACATATACAAATGCCTCAGTTAAGTTCAACTTTTCTAGCTTTTTTCTTAGCTTATAAAAGATCGAAGATCTTCAAAGAAACTCTTGTTTGGCGCTCTGTGTGAGCTTTGAGCTGGAGCATCTTCTCTGGGTTTCCCACTGACCAACTTCACGCTTAGTTAACACTTTAGTCTGCCTACAAATTGCTTAAGTTTAGAGTTTTGAGTTTCTTTGGTCATGGTTGCGTCTTTCGTTTCCCCTTGCTCTTCGGGGCCAGCTGAGGATTGGTTGGCCAGATGAAAACTGAGGAACGGAAAATTCAATGCGTAGACCCACGTGCTGGCCGCATTAACTCCTTAGTTTTGTAAGAGGGAAAACGGAAAAGCGGTAATAATTGCCCCGATGTGCGTGCTGGCTGCAAAACTGAAAAGGCGCTTTATTATCGCCGCTGCTGCGAGGCATTTTGTAATGTCTATACTGGAAAAATCAATTCGGCCGTGAAATTTCAACGAAAACGAAAAGCATGCTGTTTGCACCCCCAAAGTGCAGCATATTTTTGCGACGACGCACAGAAGCCGGCACCCTGAAAAATCACATGGATTCGGAAAGTCCTAACCTCAACAAAGTGGACTAGCGACTTGGGGCAGGCAATGGCCACAAAGCACGGAAACGCCGCTTTCAACGTGCTCTGTTTTCATTTTTCGGGGTGAGTTTCGGTCTATGAAATCACTTCCGCTTACGCTTTTCCCTTTGACATATGTAAGTGGGTGTGGTGCCGAAACACTTGTCACGCCACAAAACCAATGATTAAGTCGCCCAGCAGCTGCAAAAATCGATAAGGTCGTGGGTCAACAGTGTTTTGGCCTGTCTTGCCGGCTTTCTTAGACACAATTTCTCCGTCCAAATGTAAGGATTATCAAACGCTGGAATAAGTAAAAACAGGATATAATCCATTTATGAAAAACTATTCAACCGTAAAAAGAACCTAGAAATTGGAAAATCTTTTGCATGCATCAGGCTTTGAAAAGGTTTCTTTTTAAAAAACTTTTACAGCGTATCTTTCACTTCACTTAACAAATTAAAGTTGTAGATTTCTCGGAAATCGATATTAGTATTTCATCGGACGTCTTTGATTACTGTCTCCCATTTCCAGCCCAGGAAATACCTTAACCCTCAATGCAGTCGGCAAAAAATAAATAGGTTACCATCCTTCTTCCTTTATTTAACTCGTAATGCCAGATTGAAAATAGTAGGCATATGTAATGATTTAAAGTCCTTGTCGTTTGTTACATGTCCGTCTGTTGCCAGGCGGATGCATGTGTATCTGCTCCTTGATGTTGCCTAACCTCCTGCACCCCTCGCACGTCCTGATGACTGAGAACGATTTCGCTTTCCTCGCTGCCGAAGCGAAATTCAATACAAAAGATGGGAAAACGCGTGCCGCGGCCTTTCACTTTACTTGTTTGTCGGTTGGGATACAAATGAGTCTGTTAGGCAAATGAATGGAGAACCGACTGAATGGATGCCAAAGATGCTCCACCACCAAAGACAGTGAAGTGTGTTGTTACGGAGCATATACATTGTACATATAGTATATAGTATATAGTATATAGCATATAGTGGATACCACGCACCAGAGAGAGATAGAGAGACACCCGATCAGACCAATAAAATGTCGAAAGTGGTGGACATACGCACCTGCTAGGCGATGGGAGCAGTGCTGATGACGCGCTGCTGCACTTGCATATATCAATTGGCCGATAATGATAGTGGTGGCTACGGCCCGGTTTAGGTATCGCCAATTTTCAGATCGTGGGCCCGAGGAAAGCACCGCTAATGAGCGAGGAAAGCGGACTTTTTCGTACCGGACCAGTTGGCTGTCGTCGCCTCGCACACTCGAAACAATTTGTTCTTCTTTTCCCCACCAACACGTTATTGAATCTCTTTCACTGCCAACTAACTGGTTTTTTCAGTGCTCCGCCACTGCTCGCCAAATACACACACATTGACCACTTTCCAGGGTTCTCTTTCCACTCACTCGCCTGTTATGATGTCGCGATCTTACCGATTTACCGTCTGGGCGTTGAAATTCAATTTCGACCACGACGTCGTCGCACAATTCCGCTAATTAAACTAGTCGCGTTGGTTTACTAACCCCCAGAAAATTGTCGCTGCGCAGCGCTCGAAAATTCGGACCTCGCGCTGAGGAAATGGAAGAATAACAACAACTGCGCCAGCTGAGCGCCAGTGTGGCCAGCCGGTGGTTGGTGGTGGGGAAACATCGATGCCGCTATCGATACTTGCAATCGGCACATCGAGTACTTGTGACTTAACATTTTCGGTGATTTTGGAATTTTGGCGGTTAAAAGACCCTTTTTCATTCAAAATGTAATAATACAAAATAGATATATCATGGCGTTTCATAAATATTCTGTTAACATTTGCCTAAAAGCAAATGTAATATTTACATAAACACATTCCCCGCACAAAAAGGAACAATTTAGTTGAGCTTAATATACGCATAATATATAAGGCGTAGTTAAAGTTCAGAGTAATTTACTCAATTAATCAATCCAAATTCAGTTTTTAGTTCCAAACTTAAATCTTACGTATTTAAGATATTGGGCTCTCTGCGTGGACCGTCATTCTTGGGTGGGGTTCCATTGAGATATGGCTATGGCGTTTGCCCCGGACCATATGGCGCTCCTCATGCCCCGTTCGCCAACGCTGACCACAATCTCAGCTGCGCTCTTGGACGGAGTCAGGTGAGCATTCCTCCAAAGAAAGAACCCCTGCTAAATAAAGCGATCGTCCACGGAAACTCTCCATCCTGTTAGTACTCCTCGGATAGTACGTAATCTTCTGGTACAGCGTCATGGTGCAAGGACTGAGTATCGATCTGGAGTAGTAGGGGTAAAATGGATATCAGTGGCGTACAAGTTTTGTAGACCTTCAATGCACTTACTTTAGCAGCAATTTCACAACATACTTCAGTGGGTCCGTATGAGTACATTAGTTGAGTGATGGCAACTGCATGCATAGGGCACCTTCTGCACGGTCACGGTACCATTATAATTATTTATAAGCCAATAGGTAGGAATATAATAAAAGTAATCAGTATAAAGATAATATAATATAAATATAATTACCGATAGGAGTGTTTAGAGAACCAGCCTCAATGGAAATTGATAACCCAGAACGCCACTGTCACGAAGGCCCATTAGCTCAGTTGGTTAGAGCGTCGTGCTAATAACGCGAAGGTCGCGGGTTCGATCCCCTCATGGGCCACTTGATTTTTTGCTTTTAGCCTGATAGCCTGATAACTAGCCAAGTCGATTTAGCCATATTCATCGCCCTGCATACAGGCCCCCTCCTTCTGTCGAGACTTTGGTAACTGAATATCCAGAATACTTTAGCATATATCACGCCCGCATATTTGAAAAAATCTAATCGCTGCAGTTCACGTAGTGACGAAGCGCACCGGGGAAGCTTACGCAAGTTCTTATGCAATTTAAAATCGAAATATTTCAAAAAAGTAAGACATGAAACGGCCAATTACGTCTATGCAGTGGCAATCAGAATGTATAAAAAACATAACAAATGGAATACCATTCATATCTGTCAGTAAGATTTAAAAAAGTTGATAGTTAAGAAACTAAAATCAGACTAAAACTGATTACAAATGATATCTAATATTAATATTAAATGGCCGTTAATCTTGATTGGGTTTGAATTTTGTATTTACACTAACATCATTTCATGTTGTACACATTACAGATTGTGTTCAGTGAAAATAATTCACTTTCTTACACAAGAGATTGGAATTTTATATGCACATGTATATACTATTTTAAGGATACTTTAATTATTTTGCAAATAAGCTTGAGTAATGTCATCTAACACTGCTGGTAGCAATTGTAATGCTCTAAGCAAATGGATTTTAGAAGCACCCCATTATAATGGTCGAAATTATGTGCAGCTTTGTGCTTTGTCTCGAAATCCGTCTTCCCTCGAATTATTAGAAAAAGATTAATAGCTTTATAAATTGATGTACCTCCTATTATTATGTTAAAGTTTAGTTTACAATCATTCAAATCCAATAAAGACAGATTCCAAAGCATCCACTTAAAATGTTCGTTTTTTATAGCGTTCTTAAAAATGGAGCTCATAATCACGTAAACGCTATGTTGCTTTTAACTTTGAAATGTTTAGAGTGGGTTAATTATTAAATATGCTAATTTAGAGCAAAGCTCGACAATAAGCCACTTATTGTTTCATGATGGCAAGATATAGGAATCCGTGGGCCTGCATATTATAACGATCTTTCGAAAGAGTATGTCAATGTGCTGGCAGGAAGCTCTTTCGAATTAAAGGGATAATAATAGAATAATTGTAGCAAATAGTATTTATAGTTTAAATATTCGATATTAAAACTGATGTGATTATGTGGTTTTCGAAATAATATTATGCAACCTAAAAAACGTTGTATTAAAATGGGCTTAACTGGAAGAGCTGAGTAGTTTCGGGAATAGATTGGTTCCAAAGCCTACAAACTAAACTCAATACATGTTACTTTTTGTTTGATGTTTCCTTTGACTTGAATGGTTATCCGTTTCCTCTTCAGTATACTCGGAATCATTGTCATTTTCTCGCGAGTCTTCGCGTTCCGCAGCCTCCTTTGAAAGTTTATCCCTGTACTTATCCTCCTCCTTTTCCACCTCCTTGGAGTCCACCTCCCGGGCATCGGGCTCCTTTGGCTTCACAGTCGTGGTTGTGTAAATCCTGTCGTAATCATCGAAGGAATCCTCGTTACTGCTCAGGGGATGCTCCACGGGAGGCGGTAGAAACTGACCCACTTTGAGTTTGGCGGGCAGAGGCTCCAGGGCACGCAGTAGACCGTAGGGTTTCAAATGATAGATGAGATAGTCCAGGACATAGAAGGATTTCGGAGCTATGTAGTGAAAGGATACAGCCAAGTCCGAGCAGCAGTCGAGACCCTGACGGAACATAAGATATAACAGTTAAGAAACCCAAGTCAAGCCATCCAAATCCAAGCGAAACTTACGTCATCCGTCTTGTAGTAAGTGTAGCTCCAGTACCAAAAGGTTTTGTCCTGATTGGCTATCAAGTGATGCTCTGGTTTGAAGGGAAACATTCGACCGCGACCGATTTCGTCCCTGGAATCGCCGGCGGTAACGTTTAGGTTCTCCATGCATCGCCCGATTTCGACGTCCTCGTTGATCGCCGTGCCCTGCAGGCACATCTTCGGATTCGGAATGCCCTCGACCACGAACCGACGTAGTGCCTCCCGACTGAGTATGTAACCCGCTCCGCCAGACATGTAACCCTGCTTCACGTAAGGCTTGAACTTGAATCCAAAGTGTACGGGTGTTTCGGGATTGTACGGATAAAGCATATACCGCATATTCTCGATCACGGCGTAAGTGTCATCATCGGCCTTGTAAAAGAAGTCAGCGTCATTGTAGTGGTGTTGATAGACGTATTTGAACGCCTCCTTGACCTTGGCCCACAGATTCTGCCGGCCCTCGCCCACATCGAGCTTCACGGTGGGTAGCTCCTCATCCGCGGCAGAACTCATGAAGAGCAGGATGTTGCAGCGCTTGCCCCATGTTCGCTTCACATGGCGAGCCTTCAACTTGTGGTTTTCGGGATTGGTCATCACCCAGCAGAGGATGCGTACCTCCTTCTTCAGCTGATCGGCCACGGTGACGTTGTCGCTGCTATGATCATGCTGAAAGCTGTTGTGCTTCTGTGCCAACTGTCCCTCGGTGGCCACCTGGTTATCGCCGAGCTGGAAGAGCCGTCTACTGAGATTCGGATACATGCTCACGTTCGGCGCACTATGGAAGGAGAGCTGAGCCAGGCAGTAGCCGCACACCACGCCCACAATCAAGATGAACACCGAGCGATTCTTGGAGCGCGGAGCTGCAAATCGTCAGAGGATTAAGAAGAGTATTGGTAACATTACATAGTTCGGAAATATGCACCTCCTGTTAGCGGGGAACGCGACAAAACAGTTGGTTTCATCATTCTACACTGTCCCAAACAAATTATTTAACTTTCCCTTTCAACTGGGAACTTAGAATGGTTCACTTGTGCAAACAGAAGTTTGTGTCAAAACTCCAGACTCTATTTTCAACCACAACTGAACCCTATTGCGATAGCTAGGCGATTAAGCAGCAATATCTTTTTCTGGAGATATAAAGATCTCTGGAGATCTAGATCTGGAGATCTAGTTTCGACAGTTGAATAAACATAAATGGGGGAGTAACCGAAGTAAAGAGAAGGAAATGGGTCTTTGTGTTTAAGTGCGTTAGGGAATTTTTTTTAGGAAGCAGTAAGCGAAACTCTCTTCCTGAAAGAGAAATTTATTTTACTAGTCAGATGGTAACTTTCAGCCAGGGATAGATTTTAGATCATCGTTAATCTCCTGCGAATATTTTCTTAAAAATATACATATAAGTAGATTCATTAGTGGTTCAAAATGATGTACAAAAGATATAAAAGGCTTATTGTTAACTGGTAGCTAAATATACGTCCATTCTTTGAAAAACATGTTAACTTTTTAAGCCTTATCAAGTCAAGTTCTAAACTATCAGATAAACAATAGTTTATGAAGTACCACTTGCACAATGAATTGTTGAATTCTTAGATAAATGGTTGTGAACATCTTTGCTTATTATTTTTTACCGGCAGTTGTGTGCTACTTAAATGATAAGTTTAAAGTTTGAAACAATAATAATATTTTACAGCTTGAAAGTTGAAATGTTATTGGTTCTTATAAGTGGCGTAAGAAAAAATCCGAAGTACATTTGTATTTAAAAATAGACATATTTATTGGTAGTATTATCATTAATTTCAACCGCTGGGCAATTTTTAACGCTGCTCTGTAAGAGTGGCGTCCTAACGTATCAGTAGACAAAGGTAACAGCAGATATAACGGAAGAGAACGTACAAATTGGAATTTAAAGAGTCCACAGAGAAGCTAGAGTATGGGGCAATAAAAGGGGCTCGCCGCTTGGAGATGAAGTGCGCCTAATTAATCGGCTGCGCTCGCGAAATTCCACCTGCGTCGTGGCCATGGCGAATCAGGGTCTGTTCATCGACCAGATCATCGTCGTCCTGGTCGTTGTTCTCCAGCTGCTTCTGGCGCTTTAGCCGCAGCTCGAATACCTCGCTGATAGCGTCGCGGAAGCAGATGAAATTGTAGTCGATGACTCCCTGTCGGTTAAAGTTCTCCTCGCGCAGGATGCAGACCAGGGCCAGGAACTTGTTCACCTCCCGCAGGTAGAGTATCGTGTTGTTGTTCAACTTGATGAGACTAGAGCTTCCGCTATCAAAAGCGGTTTCTTCGGAGCTGCGGGAAAGCAATGGATTTTAATGGACCGTTTAAGTGAAAGCATAAAAAAAACGTTTGCTTGCCTGTATATGCTGGACAGATCGATGACCACGTCAATCATGTCGCAGCAAAGCTCGTAGGTCTGCATGTCAACAGCTGACGAGTCCGTGGCTATGTAAATTTTGGAAACCACATCGAACAGAAATGCCTTTTCTATTCCAGAGTTCTACAATGGATAAGGAATTAGCAGTGTAGTTTGAAAAAGACAAAACACTTTTAACGTACTGGTATAAAAATGTTCAGCAGATTCTCCAGCGTCGGCAACTGGGGAATTAGCTTCTGCACCACCTTGGAAAAGGCCTCGAAGATCGAGTGGTCGTATATGGAGGTCAGGTGGAAACTCAGGTGAATCTGATTGAGGCCAGCCTCATTTAGGTCGTCGGACGACCGTTGGTGTATGTCCCGCTGTGACTCCATTTTCGAGTCGTCGCTAATTCCATCCACCTGTGAAAAGAGCAGGTGTCAGTGGGTTATCAACTCGATAAGCGCATACACCACGGATATTACCTTGTGTATAAACACCTCGAACTTTATGTGCTTGTTCACTTTGTAGGCCTGCAACACTGTGTTCTTGAACTTAGTCAGCGCCTCGTTATAGTCATCCTTGGCATCGATGACGAAGACCAGGGCTCCACAGCCTCCGAAGATCATGTCCGAGTCAAAGGTCGGCTCAAAGAAGTCAATCTGGCCGGGGAAGTCCCAGATCTGGAACTGCACAAAGCTGGAGTTGTTGATGTCGTCCTTCACGATCTTGCTGGTGGACTCCAGGAAGAGCGTCTCGTTCGGCGACATCTTGTGGAAGACCACTTTTTGGATGGAGCTCTTGCCGGATCTGCGCATTCCCATCAGCAGAATGCGCGGCTTTGTCTCGCTGCTGCCCGTTGCATTAGGTTCCAGCTCCAAGCCATCCTGGTTGTACGCCCGGTAGCCAAAGTCCTTGGGGAACGTGTCCGCCGGATAGTCATCGTCATCGTAGCTCTGCAAGGGCGTGATTGGGAGCAAATCAGTCGCGATCGCGGTTGCAATGGGCGGGGACCATTGCGATATGGCTTCTTTGTCTACTCACCATGCTGTCGCAGTCTTGCGCCTTCCACTGGAATCTGGTATTGGGGGTGGGGCCGGCCGTGGGTCAGCGGATGTGTGCATGAAACGCACAGGCAACGACTATAGCGGTCGGGATCAGTTTACCTTTTTCTGTTTTTCCTGCGCGTTTCTTATCGCAATCACAGTGTGTGCACACCTGCTGACTGAACTCAGCTGTTCCTATCGATAGCAATCAGCTGGGGCGATTACCAAGGAAACGCGGTATGGCCACACTTAGGCCACATAAAAAATCGTTAGGCGCGGACTTATAAATTTTATACTATACTTTATAATCCTTTACGCTTCAGCCCCACTCAATAGAAAGAGGGAATGTGGGGGTGTATATATTTAAATTATTTCTACATTTTCATGACAATAACTTAAACTTTAATGATTTTTCACCGATCATATTACCAATATGTACATACATATATTTTAAAAGACGATTAATAAAGTTGTAAGTCTTAAACTTTGGGATGCACAGTTCAAAAATTTAGTGTATAAATTAAACACCAATCTGTTTAAGATATAACTATGCTTCTCAAAAGTGCGATTAAAATTTTAGTTTTGCAAACCGTAGCAAAAACTACATAAAATTGTTTGAAAATAGCAACGAGCCATAAAAAAAAAAATCAATTTTCCCCTGTTATAAACTTAAATTTCTGGCACATAAAACGTTTTCAACGTAATACGTAGATTTTTCAGTTATTAAAAATGTTTAATTTCACTTAACGAAACAAAAACGTACAACAACCCAACTCTATGACTACTGGGCGGCCAACTTGGCGTCCAACTGGCCCAGATCAATGCCCAGTTCCCTGAGCCGCCGCTCCTGCTCTTTGGTGTCCAGTCCGTGTTCCTTATTGTACTTATAGTTGACAGTCAGCTGCACCTCCTCCAGACCACTGACATGATCGTACAAGTTGCCCTCCAACCGCAGATCTATGTCGCTCTCCTCGCGCAGTGCACAAAAGTACAGGAGGAAGACGGCCAGGCTGGCGGAGATTACGTATGGTTGGTACCACAGGGTCTCGTCACTTCCGCCACTGCGTGTGTCCTTGGCGCGCCAGGTGGCCGCCTGGCTACCGAAAAACTTAATGGGCTCATTGCTGACCATGTCGTCGTCTCTTTGGCTGCCTGCTCCTTGATTCTTCACATAGCAGCGGGTTGCAGTTGGAGTACCGCCTGTAGCTGGCACCAGTTGCCTACGACGACAGCCAATTGTCACTCCAGTGGTTAAGGATCATACCAGTATAACAACTCACCGCAGCACCCTTGTTTTTGTCAGCAAACGCAGCATTTTCGATAGGGAACCAAACAAATTTCATAACAAAATTGGTAAAACAGCTGACGATTTAGAGATGAGAGCTATCGCCGGCACGCAATATAGCGATGTATCGATGCCTTGCGAAACAGCGAAAATATGGTACAAGATATAATATTATGTTGTACATATTATTACAAGTACAAGTTTAAGTAAAAGTACAAGTTTATTTATTATTATAGCGATGTACACAACATTAAAAGAGCAACAAAAAAATTATTATTTGACCACTTTGACCACACACGCTTGCAAACGATGATTTGACCACCGGTTTGCACATCTCTAACACTCCACACGTGTATTTTAAATTGTAAACACGCGCTGGTGGTTCTTTACTGCAAAAATGGGCGCAACCAAGAACCTAGACTTGATAGGCACCATTGAGGACGATGCCGAGGTCGAGAACTTGTCGGAGGACTCCGATGCGGAGGTCGAGGTAGGTTACTCACACTTTTACACCGAAACCAAAACTGAGTTCCGAGTGCCTCTGCAGTACCAACCCACAAAACTGAGGCACAAAAAGGTGACGGAGTTTGAGAAGGGCTTCGAGTTCGTGTCCTCGGTGAAGGAGTACAACCAGGACACTTGGGACGACCTGATGAAGTACGTGAAGCGGAAGGCGCGCACAAAGACAGACGACAAGATCGCCGCCCGGCTCCAAAAGAGGGGTGGCGCCGAAGCTGTGGCTGCGGAGCAGAGCGATGGAAGTGAGATAGATCTCTCCGAGGACGAATTGAAGCATGACAACCTGCGGCTAAGGGAGAAAAAGGAGTCCAAGAAAAAGAAGAAGAAGGCTGGAGAGGAGGACGAAGAGGATGAGGGGGAGAAGATGCAGTTCGACGACACTGTGGAGGCGAACGAGCAGATCACCTCCTTCTACCAGATGAATCTGTCACGTCCCCTGATGCGTGCCATCGGTGTCCTGGGATACATCTATCCTACGCCGATCCAGGCCTCTACGATTCCGGTCGCTTTGCTAGGTCGTGATATCTGTGGCTGCGCTGCCACGGGAACGGGCAAAACGGCTGCCTATATGTTGCCGACTCTAGAACGTTTGCTATATCGTCCTCTTAACAATAAGGCCATAACCAGAGTACTGGTTCTAGTGCCCACTCGTGAGCTGGGCGCCCAGGTCTACCAGGTCACAAAGCAGTTGTGCCAGTTCACTAGTATCGATGTGGGTCTGGCCATTGGCGGCTTGGATGTGAAGGCTCAGGAGGCAGTACTTCGACAAAATCCCGACATAGTCATTGCCACGCCAGGTCGTCTAATCGATCACATTAAAAATACGCCTAGTTTTACATTGGATTCTGTTGAGGTAAGCAATCAAGAAGATGTTTAGTTATATAGCTTCATTATGATGATTCTCCATCCTTGCGCTCTGAGCTCTTTTTGTAGCTAAGAGGAAAACCTGGTTCTTGCTTCTGCGCCGCAGATGCAAGCTGATTATACAGCTATTGTGTTTGCTATGTTTACTTCATCCAAACTATGACTTTAAATAACTTTCGATATCCCGAAAAGGTTCTCATTCTGGACGAGGCCGATCGTATGCTGGACGAGTACTTTGCCGAACAGATGAAGGAGATCATCAACTCCTGCTGTAAGACACGTCAGACCATGTTGTTCTCTGCCACAATGAGCGAGCAGGTCAAAGATCTGGCAGCAGTTTCGCTGGACAAGCCTGTCAAGGTGTTCGTCAACAATAACCAGCAAGTGGCCTTCAATCTGCGTCAGGAATTTATTCGCATACGTGAGGATAAGGAAGGTGACCGGGAACCCATCCTGGCTAGTTTGATTTGTAGGACGTTCCACGATCACTGCATGGTATTTGTGCAAACCAAAAAGCAGGCCCATCGACTGCACATCTTACTGGGTCTCTTGGGCGTCCGAGCCGGCGAACTGCATGGCAATCTCACCCAGCAACAGCGTCTGGAGTCGCTTAAGAAGTTCAAGGAGGAGCAGATTGATGTGCTGATTGCCACAGATGTAGCTGCTCGTGGTCTGGATATTGTGGGCGTAAAAACGGTCATCAACTTTGTGATGCCCATCACCACAGAGCACTACATCCATCGAGTGGGTCGTACCGCTCGAGCTGGACGTGCTGGCATCTCCGTTTCCCTAGCAGGTGAAAAGGAGCGCAAGATCGTTAAGGACATTATCAAGAATGCGGAGAGTACCATCAAGAATCGTATAATTCCGCCAGAGATTATTGAAAAATACCGCAACAAACTTACAAGCTTGGAGCCAGAAATCCGTAAATTCATTGTAACTGTAACATTTTCCAAATTTGCTCATGTAATTTTATTCTTTTATAGAAAATATTCTGGACGAAGAACAGGCTGAACGACAGCTAGCCAAAACGGAGCAACAGCTTTCCAAAACGGAGCGAAAGCTGCTGGGTCAGACCAACGAGCGACGTGGTTGGTTCCAGACGAAGCAGCAACGCGAGGCGGAGAAGGATCGCTTAGCGTTGACAACCGGTGACGAGGATAAAGCATCTGGTGGAAAGGGAAAGGGCAAGACGGCCGGAAAGCGTAAGCGACCCGAGTACGGAGGCGATGGCGAGGATGGTCCACCGGTCAAGGAGCTCGAGGCAAAGCGCAACAAGAAGAAGAAAGAGGAGCCTCGAAAGAAGACGCCCGAGCAGCTGGCCAAGGAGCGAGCAATGAAAGAGATCGAGAAGGTGTCCCTTGTACGCGCCAAGATGGCCAAGCTGCGCAAACGTCCAGGCAAACTGGGAGCCGCCACCGAAGTTCACAGAGGCGGTGCCTCCGACAGTAAACCCAAGCGACGCGGTGGTCAGTCGGCGTTCACTAACGATTTGACCGATGTGAGTCGTGGCGGAGCTCTGCGTCTAAGGTGAGTAGCTATTTTGAGCTTTTCGTAATAGTTGTTTTAATGTTGTACACGTTTTCCAGGTCCGAGGCCAATCGGCACAAGAAAATGACCAAGATTGCTGCCAAGAAGAAAGCAAGCAGTGTCAAGCTGACAAATAAGGCGGGAAAGAATAAATTCAACAAGGGCAAGAACTTCGGAGGACCTCGTCATGCCAAGAAGGATAAAAAGAAGTAGAGCTAAAAGAAAGAACTACGCTATGTTAAATCGTAAACTTGTAAAATAAAACTTTTCTTCTTTAAGGCATTTCATTCTTTTGGTTTACATTAATCAAGTGGCATTTATCAAATAATAACGTGTGTCAATCAGAGTGTTCGGATAAAAAATTCAACTTTCTAATATAACTAACGAAATGTATAATTGCCAATTTAGAATTGCTTAAATAAGTTTCGCTTATCTAACTTCGCTAGGCTTAAAAAGCGCGCCATTAATATCGATAAAAATCGATGGTGTGAACTTTTTAACAACTTTGTTTCCCTTCACTAATTTTGCTTGAACATTTTCCTCCTTTCGCTTTTTTTCTGATTTTGGCCACAATAATGTGCTTAATCTTCTAAATTTGCATTTACCTAAAGCTCTGAATGATGAGCAGCCTGTGCAAATATGGACCTCCCCGAGATTCCGACTCGGATAGCAGCTACGATGGATTCTACTTCTCGGATGAGGTGGGTGTTCCTTGTTCTATTATTTCTAGTGTTCCTTGTGTGACTGTATTTTCGGTCCAGGTGAAACGCCCGAAACCAGCGCCTTTTGTGGATCCCGAGCAGAAGCTCTACGATGCAGTGCTCGACGGGGATCTAAAGGCGATGCAGCAGGAGATGCGCAGCCTCGTCCTCCCAGTGGATCAGGCTGTAAAAGGTGGTCTCAACTTACTGATGCTCGCCTGTCGCGAGGGCCACTACAAAATTGTTGAATGGCTGGTGGATAAGGCAGGGGCCAATGTAAATAGGCAGCTGGATTCCTTGATGCCACTGATGATGGCCTGCAATAGCACCCACAAGGATCCGTATGTGGCGGAGAGAATCGTGCGCCTGCTCCTCCGCCACGGAGCCGTGATCAACGTGTCCGACAAATATGGAATGACACCCTTTATGTTCGCCTGCCAGAATGGCTTCACCGGCGTTGTGCGTCTCCTTATCAATGACGTTAGCTTTGATTCTGTGGATAATCAGGGCTGCACTGCCATCTTTCACGCCATCGAGAAGAATCATGTAGAGGTGGTGAAGCTGTTGGTGGAGGTGGGCGTAAATGCTACGATAGCAAACAACAAGGGATACACGCCCACCCAGGTGGCAGAGTGCCATGGATACTACGATCTGCTGGAGTTCCTGCCGCGTCCAGCCTCCACTTACCTGGTGCCGACGCACTTCCTGGGCTACAACACGCTAAGGGATCACATTCCACGCATCTTCCTTAAAAGCGATTGCCCGGAATATTTTCAGGAACTTAATGGTATCCTGCAGGCCATCAATCTTGGGAACATGGTGCAATACTTCGCCATTGCGAGGATCTCGCTGGCCGAGTTCCTCGTCATGGATGAGCAGTCTCTTCGTGAGATTGGCATCGAGTATCCAATCTTTCGTCACAAGATATTGACGGGAATTCTCGAGTAAGTGAATTTGTATAACGGTGTGAATGGTGTAAAATTCACTTGAAAACCCATAACAAATTGGCTCTTCATTGCAGCTTTCATCTTCATCATTGGTGCAACTCGTCAATAGCTCGTGTCAAAAAAGATGACATGAATAAGTGTGTGGTGCTCTTTATAATATTACTATTGCAACTAACCCAAAAATACTTGCAGCTTCTATGAGATCCTGATGGTAACCGCAAATCATCTGCAGCACTTAATAATTATTCAGGCCTCCCTGCGCTTTATTTTAAAAAACCAGGAACATAATATTATGGGACAGCCCTCGGAGACGCAGTTGTCTGCAATAAAAAATAGTTTTGAGGGATATCGAGATGTTCTTAACCAAATCACAAATACAGTCAAATATGTAAGTTTCGCATTTAAATTGATCTTACTTTAGGATACTCAATACTTTTAATTATATTTTTAGCTCGGTTCTTTTAGTCCCTCTCGGAATCCCCTGTTCATTGATTTCAATGAAATTCTTGCAGAGCGAAAACGCAAAAAGGTCCGTAACTACTTCAAGTACACAACTATTATCCTTGGAATCTCAGTTTTCATTTGCCTTAAGTGCAAGTGGTTCTCATAGTATCCGCTGAGGAACATTCCCTATATTATTTCCAACGGTTATGAAGAACGTTGTTTTCTTAAACGTTCTGAATTGTCGGAACTCATTTGCAAATCAAAATAGTTTTAAGTGAAAGAAAAGTGCTTAAGCTTAACCCATACTTCGTACGAATCGAAGATTATTAATTGTAATTTCTAAAAATTAGAAAACGCGTAATCTCTTAATACATTTAGCAACAGTTTTCTCGTTAAGACAATATATGTTACCACACAATAGAAATTTATGAAACGTTACCTCAAAACATGAATATACCTGAAAGTGAAACTAAAAGAAACGAATATTCAAATGTAGAAACTAAATGTTATAACGGAAACATAATACATATATTAATATATGGTAAACAAATGGAAATTTTATTTTTGTTAACCGATTAATAAAGGAGTTGTTACCTAACCAGACTATTTTTCCCTAATTTCCAATTAAGTTATGAATTTAAAACTGCTTTTTCCTAGAAGTTTTATAAGCAAAGGGATATTACAATTTAAATTTACCGATCACGATCAGGAGCCGGAGTCGATCTGGCCATTTCCGTCCGTCCGTTTGCTCAAGTTTGTTTCCAAATATTGTTATTTTTATTTTTTTTTTCATTTTATGATTTCACACCCGTTCTAACGCCCACAAAACGCTCAAATTTGTCACGCCCAAGCTTTTGAACAATTTGTAATATTGATTTTCATTTTATTATTTTTTTTTCCCCCAATTTCTATCGATATGCCAGAAAAATCTGGAAAGTTCTCGTTCGCACTTCCACTAGCTGAGTAACGGGTATCTGATAGTCGGGCAACTCGACTAAAGCGTTCTCTCTTGTTTTGCTGTTTTATACCCCAGCGAAACTAAACGGGCACACTGATTTTTGTTTACAATAAAATTCGCGTAAAGATTTCCCGCCATGCCGGAAGATTTGGAGCCTGGTTTCATCCGGAAGCTGGACGAGGTGGTAGTGAACCGCATAGCCGCCGGAGAGATCATTCAGCGACCCGCCAACGCCTTAAAAGAGCTGCTGGAAAATAGTTTGGACGCCCAATCGAGTCACATCCAGGTGCAGGTGAAGGCCGGCGGACTAAAGCTGCTACAAATCCAGGACAATGGCACTGGGATTCGGCGCGAAGATCTGGCCATCGTTTGCGAGCGGTTTACCACCTCCAAGTTAACCCGCTTCGAGGACTTGTCCCAGATAGCCACATTTGGCTTCAGAGGAGAGGCTTTGGCCAGCATAAGTCATGTGGCGCACCTAAGCATCCAGACCAAGACGGCGAAGGAAAAGTGCGGCTACAAGGCAACCTATGCGGATGGCAAGCTCCAGGGTCAGCCGAAACCGTGTGCTGGAAACCAAGGTACCATCATTTGCATAGAGGATCTGTTCTACAACATGCCGCAAAGGAGGCAGGCCCTCCGTTCGCCGGCCGAGGAGTTCCAGAGATTGTCTGAGGTTCTGGCCAGGTACGCTGTCCACAATCCAAGGGTGGGTTTCACTCTTCGCAAGCAGGGAGACGCGCAACCTGCCCTGCGGACACCAGTGGCTAGTTCCCGATCCGAAAATATCCGTATCATATACGGGGCAGCAATTTCCAAGGAGCTGCTGGAGTTTAGCCACCGCGATGAGGTTTTCAAGTTCGAAGCCGAATGCCTGATCACCCAAGTTAACTATTCGGCCAAAAGGAGTCAGATGCTATTGTTCATCAACCAACGACTGGTGGAGTCCTCGGGTTTGTGAGCATAATCATCTCCTTATGCAGAAAACTAATCTATTATATTCCCTAGCTCTGAAGACCGCCGTGGACTCCGTGTATGCCACCTACCTGCCCCGTGGCCAGCATCCTTTCGTATATATGAGCCTTACGCTGCCGCCCCAGAATTTGGATGTGAATGTTCATCCCACCAAGCATGAGGTGCATTTTCTCTACCAGGAAGAGATCGTGGATCGCATTAAGCAGCAGGTTGAAGCCCAACTCCTAGGCAGCAATTCCACCAGGACGTTCTACAAACAGCTAAGGCTACCAGGAGCCTCCGACCTGGATGAAACCCAGTCTGCTGATAAAACGCAACGCATCTATCCAAAGGAGCTGGTGCGCACTGATGCCACTGAGCAAAAACTAGATAAGTTTCTGGCGCCTCTGGTTAAAAGTGATTCAGGTGCGTCCTCCAGTTCCTCCCAGGAAGCCCGTCGTCTGCCAGAAGAGAGTTTTCGTGTTACTGCGGCAAAGAAATCCCGAGAAGTGCGTTTAAGCAGCGTGCTAGACATGAGGCAGCGGGTGGAGCGGCAGTGCAGCGTTCAGATGAGGAGCACACTCAAAAACATGGTCTATGTGGGCTGTGTGGATGAGAGACGAACCTTGTTCCAGCATGAAACGCACCTTTATCTGTGCAACACACGAACTTTTAGTGAGGAACTGTTTTACCAACGGATGATTTACGAGTTTCAAAACTGCTCTGAAATCACAATAACTCCACCATTGCCTCTCAAGGAGCTGCTGATGCTGTCGCTGGAAAGCGAAGCCGCCGGCTGGACACCCGAGGACGGGGATAAGGCTGAACTAGCGGACAGTGCTGCGGAGATTCTTCTGAAAAAGGCGCCCATCATGAGGGAGTATTTCGGCTTGCGCATCTCGGAGGAGGGAATGCTCGAAACTCTGCCAAGTTTGCTGCACCAGTATCGACCTTGTGTGACCCACCTGCCCGTTTACCTACTCCGCTTGGCCACCGAAGTGGACTGGGAACAGGAGGCGCGCTGCTTCGAGACTTTCTGCAGGGAAACGGCTCGATTTTACTCGCAATTGGATTGGCGGGAAGGTCCGACTGCGGGGTATTCCAAATGGACAGTGGAGCACGTTCTATTCCCAGCCTTTAAAAAATATCTTTTGCCACCACCACGTATCAAGAATGAAATATACGAGCTCACTAACCTTCCCACTCTGTACAAGGTGTTCGAGAGGTGCTAGCTCGGATTTTTAATGTTCCACCCTTTTTTTTAAGGATTTTCAGTCCCAGAACTTTTGGGATTGAGTATATTCCATATTCTTAAGATAAATATTTGCGTTTTGGATATTGTGATAAGGTTATGATCTCCTGGATCAATTCAACTTCAAAGTAATCATATTTATAAACATAAGGTGCATGACTAAGTATTTAAATCCGGCTGGCGGAGTCGGCTGACCCGTTCAGCGTTCTTCACGTGCTCCTTCAACAGCCCCATGATCTCCGTGTCGTACTCCTTGGGTGTGGGCTTGACATCGGTGGCCCAGTAATAGATGTCCCAGTCGTTACTGACCCCGTTGATTAACTGATCGTACTGCGCCGTCTGCTCGGCGCTGAAGCTCTGGAGATGCTTGGCTGCAAAGGTGCTCAACAGGAGATCGTTCTCCAGCATTCCCCGCTTGCGCGATTGATACAGAAGCCTGGAAAGGAGTAGTAAAGTGTTGATATAATGATGATATAAATAATAACTTCCTGTTTTATGTTTTAACAAGAAAATAATGTGAAAATATATAGATGGGGTCATGCTTGCTAAAAATAAATAGGAAAGAAACTTTTGAAGTTCTTGTGTAAACTATAGTTTATATATAAAGTTAATAAAGGACAATGGATGTGAGCAAAGAGAAAATAAATAAATTAAAATGATCTCTTCTAAGTAAATAGTCTTCTGTCTGTTTGTAATTACAAAATGTAATAATGTGAAACTAAATGTGGAACTTCTGCTAGGAATGATTGAAGTGAGTTAAGAGTTATACCCACCGCTGCTTGCGAGTTTGCAATGGCTCATTGGGACGCAGTGGATACTCCGGCAGTGGGAGATAATCCGGGTCCTCGTAGTCCACAATCACGTCGTCGAAGGTGCTGGCCAGAGGTGGCGGCGGAGGGGATTCCTTCATGTTGGACATCGAGCGTCTCCACGGGAGGAAGATCCAACCCGAAATATCCATTGTCAGCTGGTCGTTGCGAAAATATAAATAGAAAATATGTAGGAAGAACTGCACAAATTGCATCCCATTGCAATCTTATGCAACCGGTTTGGGTATATGTACAGAGCTTACCCTTAGTTGGCGCAGCATTTTGGGTACAGAGAATTCTGGAATTCTTCAGTTTTTTAATTTACTAGGTTTTTTTGGATTTGTGTCGGACTATCAAAAAATTTAAAAAATCAAAATGTTGTGACAACTGCCGGCCGTTCAATTTGGGACTAAAAAACGAAAAGAGCGTTTTCTGTCCAACAGAGCTTTTTATTAAGGGCTTCCCCTATTTTATTTTAAATAAGCACTGGATATCATATATGAAAGATAGGTAGGGTACATTTATTTACAAATTTCAACCTGTGCAACCAGATTTTACCGCCATATTTTAAACATCTTCCTTGTTAGCGACTGGCAGAAGAAAACATAATAGCATACTAGGTCAGCGTATAAGGTGAAACTTAAAAAAATAAAGGGGATTATAAACCAACAGAATTTTAAATTAGCGGCTTGAAATTTCCGTATGGTCCATTAACAGCACTGTTAAAATTCTTCGTCTCACTAACAGCAACAATGTGACCGCAGACACGTTCGTGAAAAATACCGCCCCACAAATGCACATAGTATTTTACCGGTTGGAGCGCTTCAATCGGTAATCGTTGTTGAAAGTGTTCGGTCGAGTAACGCAAGTCTCGCAAGGCAGAAGTCGAAAAACATTTGACCCGAGCGGTTGTCCGGTTTCAAAATCGAGAGAAAAATCGGGAAAATCACGCCGCTTCGGTAAAAACAGCCGGCAAAATACAATGAGTTAATATTTGTTTTTTTCCGTTGTGTTTGGCGGATCAGAAAATCGCGGCATGAGGGATGCTGAAGTGCTTGAGTGCGGTGTACTAATATGCAGCAAATTCTGAGCGCGCAAAGCGTTTCAAGAAAGTAAACAAACAAAATGCATGTTTCAATTGAAATCTAAGTAAAAAAGTTACCTGTTTGTGATTTCCTTGCCACCCCCGGTTTGCGCGTGTGTTGGTGTACGTTCGAGTGCGTCTCTTAGTGTGAGTGTTGTGTTATTGTGTAAAAGGAAAACAAAACGGAAGGCTGAAACAACACGAAGGAGAGGAAGAAGAAGAACAACAACAAGGAGACTCGCGCGCGTTTGTGTGTGCGTGTGTGTGTGTGTGTGAGAAGAGCGGCCAGCGGCATAATGCCGGCGACAGCGAATTCATGGGTGTTGTTGCTGTTGTTGTTGGTCGCCGTGGAAAGATGCAGCAGCAACAGCAGCGGGCGCATCAATAGTCGCAGCAGCAGCAGCGGCTACAGGAAGTTTCACTGGCAGGAGCAACAGGAGGCCCCCACTTTGCGTCCTCTTCCTGAAAAAGGTACGTGTGCTATCTGCCTCTGGCCCACTGCCCACTGCCTCTTGCCTCTCGCTCCCCCGCATCTTAATTGTTGTTAATCTGCGGTGCATTAACCTGGCCTAAGTAAACATCTCCTCGCCCCCCTGGTCCCTCCTCCCTTGCCTTTGGCTGTGCCAAAAATAACAACTGCTCTCTCCGTCTGCCATTCTCTCTGTCTCTGTCGGTCTCTTTGTCTCTCTGTTTTTGTGTGCTGTTAGTCCCCCATTCCCTTTCTGCCGCCAACCGTCACTTCACTTTGTTATGCAAATTCCTTGGTTTTCTCGCCGCAAAATGCCGCAAAACAAATGAAAATAGAAACAAAAACAAATGTATGCAAAATATTTTTGTCGCTTGTTTTGCGTTTTTGCGTGGAATTTTCACGCAACGAGAATTGAAGAAAAATATTTGGCCATAATGCAAAGATGCAGATCCCGAGGATAGCCCAAAAAAAGTAAACTAAGTTTGCATTTTTCCAAAAAGTTTTTAAATATTTATAGATTCTGTATATTTTTCAACAATGATTTCACTTCGTTATTCAAAGAGTAATGAGATATAATTGAATAGGAAAGTACACATGAACCCACCGACTTTTTACATGTAAGCAAGTAAGATAGAATTCGTAGTTCGCGTCAGCTGCTGACACCGAATGAAATACTTATGACCGCGGAAAATTTGCACAGCATCAACAAATAAATTTAAATAAATTATGTACATACAATGGACTTCTTGACTCGGGCGCATTATGCATGCACATGATCCATGACCCGGGGTCCAAAAGTCTCCGCACAAAGGCTACCGCTGCCTCCATCTCGTTAAGATACAGATAAGGAACGCGCAGAAGTAAATAAAATTAAAGTAACCATTTCCTCATTTGGGGCTATGCGACGCCAGAACTCAGTGACAATTTGAGCGAGCAAATGCACGGAAGGCACCGAAATCAATCATACAAATTGTCTGCCTGACAATTCCAACAAGACAACGAGGTATGAGATAAGAGACAAAGTTAGAGGGCACCGCGGATTATTCATTTATTAAGCTTGTGCACTTATTCTGCATTCACTGTCAGATCTGTAATCCTATCCCTACGCAGATTCAGTATCTGCTTCTCCTGCGATGGATTCAATAGTAGCTAACTGCACCCACAAATGTTAATGACACCAGGTTGTTTATGTTTTATTTTCGAAATCTCATTTATAATCTTTCAGCCGAAGTGTGAACAACCCACGAACACTGAATTACAATCAAGTTTGGGCGCTCTTACACCTTTTTTAATAACAGCTTGCTCTCTATTTAAATTCCAATTAAAGATACAATTTTTTGAACTGATTGGCATTTTCTTTCACTTACGTAAGAGTTCTGTCTAATTTTTTAACCTGCCGCAGCCTTTTGAAGAGTTCAACAATTTGCAACGCACCCACAAAGCGAACCGTGCACAAATTTGTGTAGCCGGCTAAAGTGTTCCGCAGTGAGCGTTCTGCCCCGCGGAGGGGTGAAGGCCGTGCCTGCAACCCTACAGTGAACTCTCCCTTTCGCCTCCGCTGCCTTTTCTGCCCCGACCATCCTGGGCTGGCGGAAATATTGCGGAAATCGTTTATCATGTCGCCAATGGCTCTGTTTTAATAATTGCTGTCCGCGTTAAACGGACGGGGCGGGAAAGGGGAGAGAAACCGGAAGGGAAAGTGGGAGTGGCACGCCTCATTTGTGTTCACGAACGGAGGCAGAAGAAGTGATGAAAGCCCACTGGTTGTCCCCAGCGATATATTCATGACCGTAACTATAGGTATAGTGCGAGGTATGCTTTCGACAACGCGCCTTGGATATGGTGAACAAAAAACTATATTCCTAATAATTAGTGAAATTGTGTAGTAAAGATGTGACTTTAAAATTAAACTGTAATCACGGAATTATTTCTTATCTTGCTTGTGTGTTACTAAGTCACAAAACCGGTCACTGATAATGATTAAAGGATAATTATTTGTTTTATACTTTATTTGTTTTTATTTATTTGTTTATATTTAATCGATAATCTTGAACTATGAATCTGTTCTATATGCTTTAATAAGCAGGTGCTTCTCTTTCACATAGTTTTTCGGAAATGTCTTGAATTATCTTGGAAGAATATCAACATACATATATCATATTTATATACATATGTATATTCTTTTATTATTTTATATTATGTATTTTTATATTATTTTTAACCATACTAATTTGTACTGCACTCCCAAAGTGGATATAGAGCGGAGGAAGGCCATCAATCATAGCCATCTGTCAAGGGACAACATTCGAGATTGGAAGTCACCTTTAGACCAATTTTTTGGGCTGTCGTATTTATTCTCAGTCGGGTCCGTTCAAGTTCCACATTAAGTTTGTTTGTTTCCTCGCCTCAAGTTCAAGAGCAAACGATAACCTGTCCGCAAACGATTAAGTAACACCAACAACAATAGAAACAAACAAGTTTGTAAGGTGGGTTACAAACACACTGGTACACACACACACAAACTGGTAACACCTGCCTAAAGAGTCAAAAAAAAAAAAAAAAAAACGAAAACGCATACCCAGAAAGATACAATTTGCCTTTAGCCAAACAAGTTGGCCGAAAGCAAAGCAAACGGGCCCAAAACAGACTGGGCAAGCCGGCCGGCTTGCGGAAAGGAAAAAGAAACAAGAGTTGTAGAAAATCGGAAAAAATGTTTAAGGACTTTTCTCATGATATTCATATACCTTTTTTTACTCCCCTACATAATTGAGTCTGGAAAATCGGTATAGCCAGTAATTTGCTGCAGAACAATTATGTGGAAAATCCAGTCTGGGTTTCTTTCACACAACGAAATTCGCTCTCTTCTCCCTTCCCCTTTTTTGCAAACTTTTTATGCAAGACGTTTTTCTATATTGATTTATTGTACATTTTATTGTTGCCGCTCAATGCAGACGTGCTGCTGTGTGCTGTCTTTATTGTATTTCTGCTGGCTGCGCCGGTCATTTATGGCCCCTCTGGCCTCGAATAACGCACCACCGATATGGGGATTGCACGGAAAAAATCTGGGATGAATCCCAGAAGCACTGTCGACATGACTGTCGCAGCTCGAAAGTTAAAGCCATTCTTAGCCCAAAAGTTGTAAACCAAATCTTAAAAGCTTTTCAAATCGTATACACTGTATTGAAAGTTTGAATAAATTCAAAGAATTTATATAAAGAGTTTATGATTTTGGTTTCCGGTCTCAGTGAATTATCCACTTTATCACACCTTATTTTAGATTACAATTGGGTTTTAACTTTTTAATTTATTGGCAAAACCAGACCCCATATCACATGATTTTTTGCCGTGTGGGTCTCAGAACTGGAACCGGTTCAGATCGGATCGGTTGGGTTCAAGACGTCGAGCAAAAACACCAACATCGCCAGGGGGTCTAGACGAAGAGCCCAATATGGTCATGGGCAGGACAGTTGGCCAACGCATACGTTTTCTTGTCATCATCAGCGATGACTTGACTTTCTGCCAGGAGCAGAGAGTTGAACCCTCGTTTTGCCATCAACAGAGACTTCCTCATCCGCCTGAAGTTTCCTTACTCAATTTTCGATATCGCTCAAAACTACTTAAAATTGTCAATTGGAGAATTGCAAATAATTAGAAGGCAATTAAGACTTCATTGTGCTCGCGAAATGAGTTACCATTTAAACAGATTAAATAAGAGAACTGTGTACGGTATTGGTACATATTCAGAAATGGAAAAGTTGCGTTCGCAAAAAGATTTTAATTTTATTAATAAATTAAATCCTTTTTCGCTGCATGCAGATCCGTGAGTTTAATTTGCAAATGAAATTCTTTCGCAGTGTTTTTCTTGTCTGTCACGATTTTAATTAAGCGAACGCCGCTTA